AACTTTATTATTTTTTGGGAAATTGTTTTTTTTTAAAAATATATTTTTTTTTTTGGCCAAACTTTTTTTGGCCCGAAAAATTAACAAGGGAAAAAATTTTAGGAAACAAAAGCAATTTTATAAATAAAAGGAAATAATAAAATTAATTTTGGTTTCCCAAAAAAAGTCTGTAAACCCAAAAAAACTTTTTTTGCAAAATTAAAAAAAAAAGGGGGACTTTAAAAATTCCTTTTGAAAAAAATAAAAAAATTTATTTTTAAAAAATTTCCCTATAACGAAAAATTAAATTGAAAATAACACAATTACGTTTATTTGTTAACAAAAAGGTTTTTTCAAAAAGTTTTTCCCTAAAAATTTTCCAAAAAATTTTATATACAATTTTTTTAATTTTGCTTTTTTGTTAAAAAACCAAATTCATTAAATTTTTGATTTTGCCTTCTTTTTTGGGATAAAATTGTTTTTAAATTAAAATAAAATTTTAAATTTCCAATTTAAATATAAAATAAATATAAAAATAAAAAGGGGCCCTGGAAAATAAAAAAGTTGCGTTGAAAAATGTTTTATTTTCCCAAAAATTTTAAGAAAGATTTCGAATAGTTCAAAAAAGGTAGCTTTCTTTTAATGGCAAAATAATTTTTAAAATTTTTTTAAAAAAAGAAATTCCTTTTATCTTTTTAAAGGGTTTTAAACAAACATTATATATGGAAAAAAGGGTTTTATAACAAATTGTGATTTTCACAAAAATTTGAAGGGAAACAAAATTAAGCGTTAAATAAAATTTTTTTTTTCCCGCAAAACTAGGGGGGCCTAGAAAAAATTGCTCACCTGCTTTACCTTTAACGAACACTTTTTTTTATTATTTTTGATATTTCCCGATTTAAAATTTAAAGCAAAACCTTTTTTAACATTGAAAAAAAATTTTGTCCTTTATCTGGGGCATTGGCCTAAATTTTATGACGTTTTAAAGAAGAAAAAAAATGGAAAAGGGAAAAGGGTTTTCCCTTAAAAAATTAAAACAAAAGACCAAATAACTTAACCCTATTTTGATTGTTTTTGTATATAGGAAACCCGAATCATAAAATTTTAATAAAATGAGTCGGAAAATCCCTGCAATTAAATCTATTGAGTTTTAAGCACTGATTTTATATTTAAAAAAAAAGACTTTTTAAAAACTTTTCCCAACCTAAGGTTAGTTTTGGTATTTTTTCCATATGAAATTCATTCTAAATTTGTCTGTCTTTAAAGTTTTTAAAACCTGATAAAAGGCAAAACAGAAAATTTTTACAGATGAAAAAATATAAATATTTTTTTTAAACCCCCAAAAACGTATTTTTTGTTCTTTTTAAATTTATTTTGCTTGCGGGCAAATTTCCCCGTGATAAAGAAAGATGAGAGGTTTATGAAAGGTTTCCCGGGGTTTTAAGTTTAAAATTGATTTTTTCGAGTCGGGGAGCATTTTTTATATTTTTCCCCGAAATTTTTTTTTGGGGAATTTAAAAAAAGTGTGGGGCTTCCCAATATTTAAAACTTTTAAACATAAGATATTTTTTTTCAGACAACAAAATTTAAAAAATTTGTTTTTTTTATGTGGCAATGTGGGTCATTAATGGGTTCAGTTGGGTGGGAAAAAGAAAGAAAAATTTTAAAAAAAATTTCCTTTGTTTTTTTTATTTAAAAATTTTAAAAAAAATGTCTTTTCGTTAAAACCTTCATTTTTTCTTTGAAAGAAAAACAATAGAAAATGCGTTATAAATTTTAAACGGGAAAATTTGTTGTCCAGTCCCCAGGGTGACAGCGAGATTGCAAAATTTTTTGAAAAATGTTAGATATTTAAAAAAACTTTTTTAATAGGATTTTCCACACAGAAAAAACCGCGAAACCCCAACTGCCGAAATAAAAGTTAAAAAGGAAAAAAATATGCAGGGTTTAAAGAAAGAAGTTAAAATGTGTGCCCTTTTTCCCCGTTCTTTCTGGGTTTTCTTTTGATTCCCAAAATTTGAAAAAGTATTTGACGAAATTCATTTTTTTTTTGATGAAATTAGTAAAAGTGGCTATTGTCATCGGATCTAGTTTTTGCAATACCCCCCGGGTCCCTTTTCCCTTTTTAAAAAAAATTTCCCGTTTTGTTTTGGGGAAAAACCCCTGAAAAAGTTTTAATATTAAAAAAAAAAATTTTCCCTTTTTTAACATTATTTTTTTTTAGAAAAAAATGTTTACAATATCAAAAAAACATTTTTTTCTTCACTGAATGAAAACTTTTTGGGAAGATTTTGAAAAGATTTTAAAAAAGTTAACTATTAGTCGTTAGTGGGGTTTAAAATTTAAAAATTTTTAACTTTGATAATTTTTTAAATTTTTAACAATGCTTTAAAACTGCAAAAAAAAAGGTTTCCCTTAAAATAAAAAAATTTGGGGTTCTTTCAAAACCCTACCTGTCTTTAAAAAATGTAAGAAGTGCCCGGTTTAAAAAAGTAAAATTTAAACCCATTTTTTTTGGTATAGATTTAAAATACCCTTTTTTTTAAAAGAAAAATTTGATTTAACAAATTTCCCTGAAAAAGAATTTACCTTTGGGTATTTTGTGTAGTAAAATTTTAAGAGAATGTTTTAAATTTTTATGTGAAATTTAAACCCTTAAAAATTTTTCCCTTTCCGATTTTTAAAAGGACTGGGTATTTGCAAAAACTGATATGAATTTTTTGCCCCCTTTTGATTTGTTTTTTCTCTGGTTGACAATTTTTATGTTTTAACAACCATCAAATCCTTGATGTTTGATTTTCCTGGAAATTTGGGAATTTTATTGAAACTAAAAAAACATGTTTTTTTAACACGGGAAAAAATTCTCAAATTTTCCAATATTTAAAAAAATTTAAACAAAGTTTTTAAAAATGGAAAAATTTGTGCAAGCTTTCAAATAAAAAATACGGCGTTATTTTTATTAAAAAATACTTTTTTTTTCGCTTTGAAGTTCAAAATTTTTGCTATAGTGTGTTCAGTCTTTTTTTTTGTGTTTTTAAAAAGTTATTTATTTGTTTAGATTTCAGTTTTAAAGGGAAAAAAGTTTAAACCCTCTAGAACTCAAATACCAAATTTGGGGAAAAAGTTTAAAATTTTGAAACATTTTTAATATTTTTTAAAACCTTTTGACTTGGTTAATTAAACCAGTCCGGAAAAATTTGGGTTTTAAAATTTTGGGGTTTTTTAAATGGTTTTATAATTAAAAAAAAGCATTTTGGGTTTTTTTTTTTAATTAAAAGAAGACGGGGTTTACAAGAATGGAAAAAAATTTTAATGCCTAAAAATTTGTTAATTTTAAATTTAAAAAAAATAAAATTTTTATTGGTTTTTTTTTTTTTAATAAATTTTTTTTAATTTTTGGGGGTTTTTTTAATTTAGGTTTTTTTTTTAAAAGGGTTAAAAAAAAAATTTTTCCCTTTTAACTTGGGGGATTAATTTTTAATTTTTGGGGAAATTAACCCCAAAAGGAAATCCACTCGGGTTTTGAGGAAGGGGAAAAATTGAGGTGAATTTTGGACTCAAAAGAGAGTAAAAGATGTGTAATTTTAACATCAGACAAACGACGGCACTTTGGGGTCATAAGATATCATTAAAAAAATAGTGATATTTTAACGTAATATCATGTACTGAAACATGAATGGTTAACTAGAAATAAGAAATGAAGTAGGTGAAATGTATATCTGGATATATAGCTGGATCATGTAACAATAACAGACGATTTTTATTTTATTGCATCTATGGATTGCATTTTTCCATTAAAGTATTCGATGAAATATTTTTTTTGTCTTCCATCATCTGATGAATTTGAAAATGAATGTGTTAAAATCTATTTTTTGTGTTATTAGAGGACATCATATAACACAACTACAAGAAAAAATATTCCTCAAAATATTATACATTTATATAGAAATGGTATCTCAGTCCTTAGTATATATGTAAGGATATTTCGGTTTACTTTTTAAAATGAAAACTGGGGTTTAAATTTTTGGGGCAAAAATTAAAAAAGCCAGTGTAGGAAAATTTGCTCAGGCTTTTCTGTTTAAAATTGCACCCGTTTGGCCCCATTTTTATATTTTGAAAGTTATAAAGGAAAAATGTAAGATATATTTTTAAAATTTTTTTGGGAAACAAAAAAAAGTAATACTTCCCCTTTTAAAAATTCTTTTTATAAATTTTGAAAAAAAAATGCCCTTTTTTTGATTTATTTTTTTCCCCTTGTACAAATGGTGGGGTTTTTTCCAAAGGGTCTAATTGTTTTAAGCCCACCACTTAATTGATGAAAAATTTTAAGTATTCAAAATAATTTTTATCCTAAAGGAAAAAAAAATATTTTGTTATGTTTTTGAAATGTAGATTGTTTTTAATTTGGGTATTTTAGCTAACTGAAACTTTGGGCTTTTTAAAAGGACTTTTTGGGTCGAGGGTTTAAATTTAAAGGGTATAGTTAATTAAAAATTGTCTTTTTATAAAAAATGTTCTGGGGTCTTTAAATGATAACCCTTTGGGTTTTTGAAACCTTGGAAAATTAACTGTATAAAGCCCATGATAGTGAAAATTTTTAAGATGCATATTGCCCCCAATTACCGTTTACATAAAATTTGGGGAAAGTTTAAAGTTGGCATAAAGTTAGCACCCGGGGGCCCTTGAAAAATTTGAATGGCTCTGGAGCCCAAAAACAAAATTTTTGAAGGTGGTTTTGGGGGAGAAAAATTAAGGGGGGAAAATATCATAACTAAAGGTGGTCAGAGGATGGAAAATTTTTGTTGGACCGAGAAAAAAATTAAGTTGTTTGGGCGGAACACAATTGAAGGTGGTCTGGGAACGGAAACACTAATTGAAATGGTCAGGAGACGGATACACTATTCAATGTCGTCGACAGTCAGAGACTCATCTCAATGTGGAAGAAAGGGACAAACAAATAAAGATGGTCAAAAGACGTAAACAGATTTGATGGTGGTCTGGAGACATAAGAAAAAAAACAATTCAAGGTGGTCTAGAGACGACGGAAACACATTTGAAGGTGGTCTGGGGACGGAAACACAATTGAAGTTGTTCTGGAGACGGAGACACGATTCAAGGTGGTCTGGAGTTATACTCACATCTAAAGGTTATCAGAACACGGGGACACAAATCAAGGGGGTCTGGAAACGGGGACACAACTGAAGGTGGTAAGGGAACGAAGTTACAATTGAAAGTGGTCTGGAGACGAAACACAAATGAAGGTGGTCAGGAGACGGAGACACAACTGAAGGTGGTCTGGAGTCGGAAAAAACAATGGAAGGTGATCTGTAGTCGGAATCATATCTGAAGGTGGTCAGGACACGGTGGTTTTATCATAATTTAAGTTGGTCTGGAAACAGAGACGTCATTGAAGCAGGTCTGGAGACGGAAACACAGTTGAAGGTGGTCAGGGGAAGGAAACATAATTGATTGTGGCCTTAAGACAGAAACGCAATTGAAGGTGGTCAGGAGACGGTGACAAAACTGGAGGAATATTGGAGATTGAAGCACATTTGAAGGTTGTCTTGAAACGGAGACACAATTTAAGGTGGTTTGGAGAGGGAATCACACTTGAAGGTTGTTTAGGGACGGAGACACAATTGAAGTTATTCTGGAGACTGAAACATATTTGAAGGTAGTATTGAAACGAAGACACAATTGTAGGTGGTCTTGAAACGGAATCACACTTGAAGGTGGTCTAGAGACGGAATGACAATTCAAGGTGGTCTGGAAACGGAAAATCAATTCAAGGTGGTCTGGAGACATAAAATGAATGAAGGTGGTCTGGAAACTGAACACACAATTCAAGTTTGTCCGGAAACGGAAACACATTTGATGGCGGTCTGGAGACGAAAACAAACACAATTAAATGCGGTCTAGAGACAGAATCATAATTGAATGTGGCCTGTTTACGGAATAACACTTTAAAGTTGTCTAGAAAGGTAAACACAATTCAAGTTGCTCAGTAGACAACAATTTACAGTAAACACGATTGAAGGTTGTGTGGAAATGGAGACACAATGCAAGGTGTTCCGGAGACGAAAAGACAATTGAAGGTGGTTTGGAGACGGAATCTCACATGAAGGTGGTCCAGAAACAAAAACACAAATCAAGGTAGTCGGGAGATGGAGAAGCAATTGAAGATGGTCTAGAACGGAAAAAAAAACAATTGAAGGCTGACTGGAGACGAAAAAAAATTCAAGATTGTCTGGAAACGGAAACACAAGTTGTCAAGAGATGGAGAGACAATTCAAGGTCGTCTGGAGATGGAAACATAATTGAATGTGGTCTGGAAACGGAAGCACAATTGATTGTGGTCTAGTGTTGTAATCACAACTGAAGATGGTCAGTAAACGGAGATGAAATTAAAGGTGGTCATGAGACGAAGACAAGAAATAAAGTGGTCTGGAGGCAAAAGCCCTTTTGAAGGTGATCAGGAAACGGAAACACAAATTGAGTTGGTCAGGAGACGGAGACACTATTCAAGGTGGTCTTGAGACGAAGACATATTGAACGTACTGAGGAGACAGACGGTGACACAATTCAAGTTCGCCTTGAGACACAAACAATATTCAAGGTGGTCTGGAAACGGAACACTTATTGAGATGATTAAGAGCCTGAAACTCGCTGTTTAATGTCGGCTGGAGATAGAAATACAATTGAAGGTGGTCTGGAAAGGAAATAAAGGTGTTCTGTAAACATAATAGAAACAATTGAAGATGGTCAGTGAACGGAGACACATCTGAAGTTGTTCTGGAGTCGATTACCCAATTTATGGTGGTCTTGAAACAGAAGTAGAATTGAAGATGGTCTGGAAACGAATGCACAATTAAACGTTGTCAGTAGACAGAGATACAACTGAAGGTAATATGGAAATATAGACACATTTGAAAGGGTATTGCCGCCGAAACACAATTGAAGTTGGTATGGAAACGGTAACACTAATGTAAGTGGTCAGGAGACGTAGTCACACTTTCAAGGTCGTATGAAAGAGAAACACAATTCAAGGTGGTATGTAAACAGGAAAACAATTGAAGGTGGTCGGGGGACAGAGCACACAATAGAAGTTGGGCTGGAGACGGGGACACAATTGAGGTGCTCTGGAAACGGAAGCACAATTGAACGTTGTCAGTAAACGGAACCACAACTAAATGTGGTCTAGAAACGAAAGCATAATTGAAGGTTGTCAGTAAACGAAGCCACAACTGAAGGTGGTATGAAAACCAAGTCACAGTTGAAGGGGTTTGGTAACGGGAACACAATTGAAAGTTTAATAGAAACGGAATCGGTATTGGACGTGGTCAGGCGACGAAGGCAAAATTTAAGATAATCTGGAGACGGAAACAAAATTCAAGGTGGTCCGGAGACGGAAACACAATTGCAGGGGGTATGGAAATGGAATCACTATTCGGGGTGGTCAGGAGACGAAACGTTTCATGGTGTTTGAAGACGGAAAGAAATGAAGATGGTCTGTAAACGGAAAGACAACGGAAGGTGGTCTGGACACAAAGACACAATTAAAATAGGTATGGAAACGGAATCGCAATTGAATGTGGTCAGGGGACAGAGAGCCAAGGGACTAATTGGTCTGGTGACGGAGACACAATACAATTAAAGGTGGTCAGTAGACGGAAACACAAGTAAAGGTCGATTGGAAACGGACACTTAATTCCAGGTATTCTGTGGACGGAAACACAATTGAAATTGGTCTGGAGACAGAGACACAATTGAAAATGATCAGAAAACATAGTTATAATTCAAGGTGATCATAAGATGAAACACAATTGAATGGTAGTCTGTTGACGGAAACACAATTGAAATTGGTCTGGAGACAGAGACACAATTGAAAATGATCAGAATACATAGATATAATTCAAGGTGATCATAAGATGAAACACAATTGAATGGGGTATGGATATGGAAACACTTTTGACGGTAGAACATTTAATCCTACAGAATTCCATGCTGGCACGATATTAAGCAGATAATTCAGCAGGACATAGGAATTTGACCGAAAATTCTGCTGAAACGACATTCGGCAGGACTATAAGGAGGACATCGAATTTTGCTGCAGGCAGGACCTTCGGCTTGACATACAGGAGGACATTGAAATTTTACCGAAACCCCTGCCAGCACAACATTCGGTAATTTCTTAAATGTTCTATTGATGCCCAGCCAAATGTCGTGTCAGCAGGCGTTTGGGCAAAGTTTAAACATCTTTTTATATCCTGCCCAACGTCGTGCCAGCATGGAAGTCGATGATACATTTGGTAAAGTTTCAATGTCGTGCTGATTTTCTGATATCTTACTCCGTGCTAAAGCCATACCTTTTTCACAAAGACACAGCTTCATACAGTTTGTTGTTATACGTGTTTTTTGAGAAAACACTAAGATAGTGGAACTCTTGTATGCAACTTACGCAAGTGGTGTTAAAGCAAGAACATGATTTAAGTTGCCTTCCAACAAAAATGCATCATCACAAATTCAGTAAAACCGTAACTATAATGTGCAGCTATCGATAGATCTTAACTTGTACAGTGTCTTAAATCTGTTTGGCCCAGTAAAGACAACTCTCATATTATAAACTTCAGGATGCAAATGACTTGAGAGATTTGTCGAATTGTCACTTAGTGCTCCGTCAAAAATCATCCAGTCGAACTATAGAGCGCCGTAATGCCTGAATATATGACAGACGATTTTGCCACTACGCTTCAATTTCAAGTCTCAGACCTAGATCAGGGGAAGAAGATTTACCTTTGACACATAGGCTAAGTTAAAAAAAATATACTTTAACTTTTAACAAAAGAGAAAGAAGGATATATAAGATTAGAAAATAGCAAAAGATTTTCAAAATCTCATTGAGTGACCTCATTTGAACCATCTTGAAAGAAGGAAATGAATAAGATATAAGTATAAAAAGGAAGCAACACACATACATATTTGTTGAAATATAAGTCGATGGAACCCACACTTATAGTCATCTGTCGAAAGTTCCAGATGTAGATATTCTATACCTTAAACATGCATGATGTATTCGTATCATTTGTGTCATTTGAATAACTTGACAAACATCTCATTCGTGTTCAAAGCGTAGACCAACATTATTTCCTAAATATTGGTATTACAGTCACTATGAGTCGAGCAGGACAAAAAAAATGGTTTTTCGCCTTGTTGAGACATATTTGTTTCAGTCTCTCCGCTACATTGTATCTACACTATCAACTAGAAGGCTCGTAACTAAGAAATTAACATATTTTATTAAAATTGTATAATAAGAGGTATTCGCTCATTTCATTGAAATATGTTAAATAAATATCCGACATGTATGATTGTAAGATGGTCATCATTTTAGTAAACTGTACCATTACATTACATTACACAAGGTGTCCATAACAAAAGCATCATATAAGCTCGAATTTATTATTTATAGAATAAAACTATATCTGAAGTTGGTAGGATTTAAATATACTTACAATAAGATTCTGGACAAATTGTGTCCCAATATATGAAGGTAATATCAATGCTTTGATGTTCACCGGCTTGAATTGTGAACTCTTCTTCGCAATCTTGACAAAGATTTAAAGCCGAAAGAGTTGTAAGGATCATGGTTGGCTCAGTGCAAATCTCATTTCGTCTTTTCGTTCTTTTTGAATGACCAAGTGAATCGATTGAAAGACAAGCTGCGGTTTCTTGAAGGAAATATTTATGCCATTAAGTCTTTATGACAATATAGTACAACAATTACACACTTTTACACTCGCATTTTGAATTGTTTATAATCAAATGTATAAAATAAGAAAAACATTCGAATTATTAAGAATCTAGAGCGCAATAAGTTTACTGAACGGAAGGTCATCTATACTGAAATTTGAAAAAGGTGACAAATAAATAAAATGATCAAAACACAAAACAACAAGAGCACTGCTAGGCGGAGCATTATATGCCCGAAAGTGATTTTTTTAGTAAAGATGAAGCATTTGTAAGACATTGGAATTAAATAAAGTATTACCTCCTTCAAATAACAATCCTCCTATGAAGTTTGAATATTGTGGTCCAAATGGAACTCAAGTTATGCCCAGGAAACTGTTTTGAGTTTTAAGGTAATAGTGACCTTGACCTTTGACATTGTGACCCCAAAATCAATTGGGGTATTCTACCTAATATGGACAATCATCCCATGAAATTTGAAAATTGTGGGCCGAATAGAACTTAAGTTATGCTCAAGAAACTGTTTTGAATTTCAAAGAAATAGTGGCCTTGACCTTTGACCCCTAAATCAAGAGGGGTCGTCTGCCCAATATAGACAATCATCCTATGAAGTTTGAACACTGTGGGCCAAATGGAACTAAAGTTTTGCTCCGGAAACTGTTTTCAGTTTAAAGGTTATATTGACCTTGACCTTTGACCTTGTGACCCAAAACGAATAGGGGTATTTTACCTAATATGGAAAATCATCCTATAAAATTTAAACACTTTGCGCCAAATAGAACTTAAGTTATGCTCCGGAAACTGTTTTCAGTTTTAAAGTAATAGTTACCTTGACCTTTGACCTTGTGACCCCAAAATCAATAGAGGTCTTCTACCTAATATGGACAATCAGCCTATGAAGTTTGAACACTTTGGGCCAAATGGTACTTAAGTTATGCTCCGGAAACTGTTTTCAGTTTAAAAGCCATAGTGACCTTGACCTTTGGCCTTGTGACCCCAAAATCAATTGGGGTCTTCTACCTAATATGGACAATAATTTTGTGAAGTTTGAATATTGTGGGCCAAATGGAACTTAAGTTATGGTCCGGAAACCAAATTGCTAACGGATGGACGGACGGGCGGATGCCAAGAGGTATAACATTATATGCCCGAAATTTTTTCGGGCATATAAAAATTGTAAGCACGTGAAATTTGCAAGGTTTTCTTACCTTTTAGTACTTTGTGTTAAAAATATTTTGAAAAACTTAATGGTCATTAGACTTGAATATCATTGTTAAATGCAAACATGCATGTAATGAGTTCGTTAATTTTTTGCAGAAAAACTACTAAAATGATAATAAACATGAAACTGAGTGCATGTGTTTCAGTTATATTCTCTCAACACTATCCGTTTCACTGCTCTATAACTTTCAAAATGTGTTCAAAAGTTACCCATTCATTTACTGTTTCCTCACTTTAAACCTTTGATTTTAAAGACATTCACTATACTTTAACCCTTTCCCCCATGAGCATATTGTGAAAAATGGCCGTTTTCACTGAAAAGCCTCCTGTTACAAATTCAAACTGCTATGAAACTATGAAAAATGCTTCAATACTAATCAAACTTGGCACAAATGTTGACTGGACCATTGCCTTTGTAACGACATGCTCAGTCTTAAATTTCCTGTTACCATGGCAACGAGGGGGCATCTCAAAATTGCCAAAAATCACTATTTTGCCTCGATTTTTTCCATCAAAATTTATTTCAAAGTGCTGCAACTTCTCAAGGGATTGAGATAGAGTCAAAGGCTTTTCAGCGTTGGTTAAACGTTACATTATGATCGACCTGGGGTCATTTTTAGCCTCTCACAAGTCCATAATTTTCTTGGCGATGAGGGGGACTCCGCCCCCCTTCAAACCCCCCTAACAGATGGGGGCACATCCCCCTTCTGGCAACCCCCTGATGTATCTTTTGGATGGGGGGCGGCGCCGAAAAAGTGCTCAATTTTTTTAGCAACATTTCTCAAACGACAACTTATGTTTGGGGTCCAAATAGGACATTTTTTTCCTATTTGAGGCCCAAAAAAGGGGGGGGGTCGAAAGTGCGTTGTTTCGCGTATATATGTGGTAAAGGGTTAACAAAAAATGATGAAAAACTTTGGAATCACCTAAAAACTAGTTTTTCCATGTTAACATGTGGTCTTTCACCTAATTTTGGTGAAAAATTGTTGTTTTGTAACATTTATATTTTTTTTTAGTTAACCCTTTCCCCCATGAGCATATTGTGAAAAATGGCCGTTTTCACTGAAAAGCCTCCTGTTACAAATTCAAACTGCTATGAAACTATGAAAAATGCTTCAATACTAATCAAACTTGGCACAAATGTTGACTGGACCATTGCCTTTGTAACGACATGCTCAGTCTTAAATTTCCTGTTACCATGGCAACGAGGGGACATCTCAAAATTGCCAAAAATCACTATTTTGCCTCGATTTTTTCCATCAAAATTTATTTCAAAGTGCTGCAACTTCTCAAGGGATTGAGATAGAGTCAAAGGCTTTTCAGCGTTGGTTAAACGTTACATTATGATCGACCTGGGGTCATTTTTAGCCTCTCACAAGTCCAAAATTTTCTTGGCGATGAGGGGGACTCCGCCCCCCTTCAAACCCCCCTAACAGATGGGGGCACATCCCCCTTCTGGCAACCCCCTGATGTATCTTTTGGATGGGGGGCGGCGCCGAAAAAGTGCTCAATTTTTTTAGCAACATTTCTCAAACGAAAACTTATGTTTGGGGTCCAAATAGGACATTTTTTTCCTATTTGAGGCCCAAAAAGGGGGGGGGGGTGTCGAAAGTGCGTTGTTTCGCGTATATATGTGGTAAAGGGTTAAACTGATTTTTCTTTCACACATTTTTCCATCGAAGTCCGTTTTTATATTAGATATTATACGTGTAATTTTATTATTAATGTCAATCAAGATGTGTGCCCATAGATATAACGCGAAACTTATTCCTTATGCATGCTTTCTAGATGACACGCCTTGTACCATGGGGCAGGAACTGAGACACGAAGGATGGAGTTCTTATGATAAATTTTCAGGATTTCTTATGATAACTGTCACGGAGTTCCTGGGAAACGTTACGAATTTTGTTGGAAAACTTTATTTTATGCTTGAAAAACACACGAGCAAAATAGTAATTTTTATCTTTAAATTCGGAGTTTGAGGTGCTTGATTAAACTTAAATGATTAAGCTTGCCATACAAATTGTATTATGTGTCAGAAAAAAATAACATTATAGTCCATTTTTCATCGTCTTTTGTATAAGATATGATAAACAAGATCAACAAGGAAAGGCGGCGTTCAATGAACGTAACCCCCATATGACCCAGCAACAAGAACCAATGGCAAGGAGCCCAGGCGGACCCCAAACATAAAAAGGACAGGGGAAAGACAGGCTAATCATTAAATGATAAATTATTTGTAACTGATTAGGAATTCAAAGAAAATAATAATAGGCCCACAAAGGGAAAGGGGACAGGAGACCGGGGGAAGGGGGGGGGGGGGTAATCAAAGAAATAAAAACTAGAGGCAATGGGAAGATACTTACCGTAGACGAGAAAACAACAAGGGACACAAGCAAAAGTGTCACCAAAACAGTATGAAACAACATAGCCATACATCTGAGGAACACAGTGGGGCGCCGCCTTGGAACGGTCAGCAGCATAATAATGACTGCTGGGGAATTTATACCGGTTAATGGTGCACCAAACCTCGCTCTTAGCCCCACCATGTTCCTATAAACGAGACAGTGTAAATAAAATGAATCCCAGCCAAGTGAAATTCTAACAGTTTTTATGGTTACAAAAGGTTAAATAAGTAAAACACTAAAATGATCATGTAGAAACATACAAAAGTGAACCCAATGACCATAACAAAAGTACTCAATGTCCTAAAGGAAGACAGAGCAACAAGAAAATCACCTACAAGGGCCCGACGAAGCAAGGCAGAAGACTAACATTAAGACAATTCAGTCTCAAAGGCTTTACGAACTATCCATCATAGAGTCTCCCACTTGGTCCGTCAGATGCAATCAAAAGAGGAAAGCGTAGTGTCCAACTGTAAAAGGGTTGAACACTAAACATGCAGTATGTCTTAAAATAGTAGGGTCATAACCTCTTTAAATAAAACGTTTAATGATATTAGTAAAAACAGCAGAAAAATTACCATGACCCAAAATCTTACGAAGTTTGTATACCACATCGCCATAAAAACCAGGCTGGCTAATCCCTTGTCGCAGAAGAGTTTTTAAATCACTATTGAATTAAGAAATTAAATCAAAGTTACGATTGTAAAATTTAGTAAAATATTTCCGTAATTTATGATAGCGGTAGCCCTGTTTTAGAAGCTTGTTGGTAATAAAAATATTCCGCTCTTTGAAATCCTTTACGTTGCTACAAGCTCTAGCGAATCTAATTAACTGAGAAACAAAAACCCCGTAAGATGTTGCACGGGGTACGTCTCCATCTAAATGTGGATAATTAACTATACAAAAGTCAAAGTCATCTCTTTTATCATAGATTTTCGTGTGAATAGAATTGTTGTTGATAGTAATATGAAGATCCAAAAATGATGTTCGTTTTATTAGGTTGTAGTTCATGCGGATAAATGTCAGACACCATTTGATCAAAATAAGGATTATCTAAATTAAAAATATCATCAAGGTATCTGGAAGTATTATTAAATGCGACTAAAACATCTTGTTGTTTCTCTTCAGAGAGACTCAACATAAAGTCTCTTTCATAGCAGTACAAAAACAAATCGGCGACCAGGGGTGCACAATTAGTACCCATAGGAATTCCTATGATCTGTTTAAATAGGATATTACCAAACCTGATATAAACGTTGTCTAAATGAAAAGATAGTGCTCTACAACCTTCGTCACAGGTCCACATAGTATAATGTTTAACAATACCGTTAGTAAAAAAAGCTTTGTTAGAATTACATGCTAGAAAGGTAACTTTTTTCAGTGCAAAATTTTCTGAATTAGCGAAATTAGTTTATCATTGATTAATTTATGTGGCAAAGTTGTATAAAGTGTAGAAAAATCGTATGTACTGACAGTTGAAGCTTGAAAGTTATTAATTTTGAATTTATTCAAGATTTCACCAGAATTTTTAATTGACCAAAAGAGATGTTTGCCTGTGTTTTCATAGACTTTATCACAATATCTAATTACATGTGTTTTAATGGCAGTCAAACAAGACGTCAATAAAATAGAAAGTTTACTTGTAGTGCAAGATGTAGAATTAACAATAAATCTGGCTCTGTAAGGTTTTTTATGTAATTTAGGAATCCAATACATAATAGGAAGTTTGAGTTCTTTTTCATTAATTTGGACTTTAAGATTGGAAATATTAGTAATATGATTGTTTACAATGTCTTTTTTGGAGGCAGTGGTTTTAGAATACGCATTAGTGCTATTTAGTTCCTTATGCAAAACGTTAATGTAATGGATTCGTCAAACAATTATAATATTATTAGCCGCCTTGTCCGCAGGCACCAAAACAAATTTTGAATGAAAAGCTAGAATATCTTTTTTTCAGATGTCTTAAAGTAAGTCGTGGTTAGGTGGCAAAAGATGTTCATTTCCACGATAAAAATTAATACGTGAATCAATAATTTTAAAGATGTTACGTTTCAATGTAACTAGAGCATTACTATCCGCATTTTCACGGCGACACCATTTGACCGAAAAATCCTCTATAGTTTCAGCAATCTGACCACGACAAGCATTAAAATCAATATCAGAAGGAATTCTGTATTTAGGTCGTTTCAAGAATAAGTTACGAATTCTTTTGTCTGCAATTATATCAAAATTACCAGTGATTATATGGCCAAAATCTGAATTACAGAATTTAGAAGTATTGCAGTCTCAAGTTGTTGGAGTATTAGACTGAATATCTAAGTCAAAAACCACTTTGTTGTAATTAAATATGACATTTCTAACAGGTTTCTTATATTTATAGCAAATAATTGGTATCTCGGAGTTTTTGAAGTATTTTTAATAAATTTTCCATATAACATGCACATTTGTACCTATATATTTTTGAATTATAAAACCTGAAGAATAAATCTTTCAAGACGTGTAATAAGATAAAATATGCAAGGGTGTTATGTTGAATTTCAATCAAAATCGAATTGAAATATTTAATGTTATATACAAAAAAAACGTATACCTTCAGCAGTTATGATTGCCCGGAATTTTAATGATGGTGGCCATATCCTTGTTAGAGTAGTTGTTAAAAACAACACGTTGTTGTTTGTTTCTATTACAAATACTTCGTTGTTGAAATTCTCATCAATGATAAATTCGTTGTTGTCCACTTGCGATGATTTAACAACGAGTGCACACTGCTCAAATATACAAAATTATATATAAAAATCTGAAATAAAGTTAGTACATGTATTCAACTATAATTACATAAAAAAACTATTCAGCTATTGAAAACGTTTCTGGCCAGAGATGAGCAAGGACGAGTCAATGTTTTTAATTTCAAAGGTAATCATGGTAAACGATGATAACGAACATAAGTTTTATTAGAAATAGGTTAAACAAATTTGAAAAAAAAGAAAAGAAATGAATTAAATTAAGGCTAAGTTTTCATTTGACAAAAACACAAGAGAAATAGTAGATAAAAATATCAGAAATATTATTTAGATAAAATAGAGTTAGAAAGTATCAGATTCAAATAAACACATGCTCTTCCGTCCGTGCAGATTCTTGCTCTTCATTTCTGGATTCGACATTTAACAGTTTGTAGTTAAACCTCTTTCACATTTCAGGCATATTTTTCTGCTCTTCAGTATTATCTTTTCAACTTCTTTCGACTAACATAAAGAAATTATAGACTTTAGATATTTTGTAAAAATGAATTTTCAAAAACTCCTATCGGCTGAGTACTAGGACTACTGATGATCACACTAGTCCATAAACTAAAATTTTCTCATCAAAATATGCGTAAAAAAATAATAAATTAGATTAAGTGTGTCAATGAAATATAGAATGGACTGAAATATTTAGTTAAGAAAAAGACAGAAATATTAACCGCAAAAGATATAAGCAAAAATAGAAACTTGTAGATGGCTTACATAAACCATTAACTAAAATTGACTAATGAAAGAGAGTTATGAAGGTCAACTACATTCAACGTCATAATAAATACAAAATAACAACCCCACTTAGAGACTTCCTTATAACCTCCGCAACAAAAAAAAACGGTTATTCAAGATCAAGCTTTCCAGAGAAACCAAGTGTTCCAAGCAAAGACAAACTGACATCATCAAAATTCAAAAGAAACATGAGAATTTGACAATTCTTATAATACAAATTAAGCTTACATGCAACTTAAAGATTTCAATTAAAATGAATTTTACTTCTTTGAAGACTAAAACGTCTATGCAAAATGCATATGTCATCAAACTCTTTTAACTTGAAGTGTGCAATAGTTTTCATAGTAAATTACAATTAGAGTCTAGCATCTTCATGATTCAGATGTAAACATCCATACTGTATGGCTTAATACTCATGATGGGAAAGGCAAATCTAAGAAAATACTTTTTCTATTAAAAGATACAACTCTAGAATTTCATAATGATACCAACTTATTGTTTAAATTTCGTTTAACCCTGTTGACAGTTGAACAAATATTTAAAAGACAAGGAATGATAGCAGACAAAATTATGCTAGCAGAAGATTGATGACGATCATTAAAAAAAATTAAATCATTATCAGCTGAAATAATGACATCCTTTAAACTAGGACCAGTATCATCATAATTACTAGTATCAACACGTTAAATGATAAAAGCCAATATAAGATCCACTTGACCTTGAGAAATTCTGAAACTAAGCCTTAAATTATTATTTTTTTGGGGATGCTGTAATTTTGGCATTCCAAATCCAGAAACATTATGGCTACTATTAATAACATAAATGTTTAATTGTAGTAAGATTTGCGTACCTGTAGAAATAACATATACGCCCAAACATCACAAAAATCGTTTCCTGTGTTTTTTAAGGCCAAATAAATCTTGGAAAGATTTATAGGCTGTGTTAAACCCTGTCATTTTGAAAATTCAACGATGATTGAATATTGAAATTCGATTCATTTAAATCGATCCCAGTTACTGATGTAAAGTGCTCACGCGACTTAAATAGTTGCAAAAATTTACAATAACGAAATTAAGAGTACAATGGAATAATCTATAGACATGCGGGTAAATAACTGAAAAAACAGAATTTAGAATACATATATACTGATATAATAATTGATTCTCATTGAGTTTAAAACATTTTCCTCTATTTTCACACTGGCCTTAGCTTTCGCAAACGCGGTAAATCCATCGTAGAAGCGGTGGAGTATTCGTCGCAGAATTGGTTGATAAAATATGACCGTTTGCTGTTGTATGTTTTGACTTTTTACTGTAAAAAAACCTAGTGAGACTGGAGCCCACAAACATACTCTTCAACTTATTACTCGCACACAGTGCAATTCATTGTCGTTTATGCAAACATTTCTGTACATTTTGACAAGGGGTTACTACTTTACCTAATTTTGGTAATAGCACGTACAAATGTGTCAAAACTACCACTAAATACACCGGTATCACATTGTTTGTATCATACTTGCACAAAACAAGCATATATTGGAAATATTTATTGCCTTTTTAATAAAAGAATTGACGCAGACGGCGATTGATTCGATTGCAACGAAGTGCAGTGGGCCCTATAACATTTATGTCTATTGCGATGGTTTAACTTGAAATATTATACAGTTGTTTATAGAGCACAATCCTCGTCTTTCTTTGACACCAGAGAAACGTGTTTACTTGATGTCTTAAATGACATAATCATATATACAAACATAATAATACTGCAGTGCGTTTGTAACGTTGCTTTTTATTAGATAATCGTAACATTTAAATAGATTTGTATAATACTGCACGTTTATAACGTCACTTTCATTGGATAATCGTGACTTTTATATAGTTTTATATACACGACTATTTTCAGTTTAATAAGAAGTATCACTTTTTTCTCTCAAAAGGAGGTTCGCTGTATTATTAATTCGTTATAAATTACGGTTATGTGACCGTATATAAACAGTTGTTTTCAAAATAACCCTCGCCTAGTGGCTCTGGTTATATTTTCAAACAGCCGATTATATAGGGTCATATTACATGTCAGAAATCTGTATAACTAATTATATACACGGCTGTTGTCAGTTTATGAAGATTTTTTTCTCCAAAATAAGATGCTTGCTGTATTAAAAATTTTGTGATATATAGCCGTACATAAACGGTTGTTTGCAATATAACACTAGCTTAACGGCTTTGCAATACACCACCATACAACTTGCCAAAAACCTTTTTAACTAATATCATAATACTGTACAAATATCCAATGAAAATATACGTAACAAACGTGAAGAATTATAAACACATATTTGCAAAATTAAAGATGTTCAACATATATTCTTTAAACTTGGCGTTATGTTAGAATTTGATAACAGAAATATTTCAAGCGGAAAACTTAGGGGTCACCGATCTCTTTTTCTGCTCGTGCAATTCATTTTTTCACTTATTATCAATTGGGGTTAGCTCAGAGGCACGTACGTCTGAAAGTTCCTTTTTCTTTTTGCTATCTTTTTCCATTTACTTTTGCACATTTAAAAAAAATCACATTTAATTCCCTAAACTACTTTTTTCAATTTCATTAGAGTTACTTTTAATTCTTTGATCGAACGTCTTCAAGTAAATAACAAGATAAGTGTCCTGATCAAGTTTAATGACAATTGAGTCAAAAATGTTACTATTAGAATATTAATATTTTTTTCCAAATTTGGGCAGTGTGACATAGATTTTGACCCAAGGTGAACCATATTCAAACTTGACCTAGCAATCATCAAATATGGTTTGAAAATATTCTATTTTGAAACCATATACCATTTTTTAAACTATCTTTCTCCGATGAATTTAACAATTTAAAGAAAAAAAAAAGAAAAGAAAAAATCTGCCCTTTAATTACTACAATTATTAAGGAGGAAGGTCGCTAATGAAGATAAAAATAATATATTTTATCTACTTTTCGTATCTTCTCTCGAAATTAGCAAATAAAACATCAAAACAAAAAAAAATATCAAATTCAGGAGCAAATAAACTTAAAACGAGATTTGTGAAAAGCTTTCTCTTATGAAATGTTTCACCTTTTCATTATCCCTCATGAACAGACTCAATCAAATCGAGTTTGCAATTGACATGTAAACTTGGTGTTTTAATGCTTCAGGGGGTCAACTTTTCCAAGATAATAAGAACATTTATAACTATGACTCCTAAATTCTTACCTTTATAGTATAAATATTTTAATTTTGACATTAAACTTTACAAATTTTGGAAATGTGATAAATAGAATATTATGTTCGTATATTTTCTATTTCTTAATGAGCTGAATAAGCTCGTTGGTTGAATAAAGTAGTAATATTTATCAAATCTAACCATTATAGTATACAAATTCTAATTTTGACTGTACACTTTACCAATATATCTAGATATACATGTAATGCGAACGGTTTATTAGAATATCATTGCAATTCTGGCTATAAAAACTCGTTTGTATCATAGGCAAAAATAGAAATATTAAATTAAAAACACGTTCCCTGTTTTTTGCAATCTGAGACTTCAAAAATTAAACAATGTACGAGCATCTGCATATGATATTTCTATCGTTATCCATTTCTTTGTCGTCACATTATGTAAACCTCAAAAACGAGCCAATCATTTGGTATGCTTTTGAGTGTGGGTATACAATTTAACTGTCAATTATTTTCAACAAAAGGTCCCCGAACTTTGATACATTTATCAATTGGTGTTTTAGGTATGATACCATAATACAGTGTAATTAAAAACTGAGATCCTTCTTCATTTCTACATATTCAAGAAGCATGTTCTGTTAATATTTATGAATATCTCTTTTATAAATTTGCTGTTGAAGCTGGAATTTAAGGTCGATTTAATCTCAGGTCAAACGTAGACTACTAGTATTCCATGAGAATACCGGCCAAGGGAAATTTTCAATGGAAGGAAATTGGAGCGAACTCTAATAATCATATTATTTCAAACACCAAATAAAGACGTTTCTTTGATGTCAAAGAAAGAAAAGGGTTGTACTCAATATAAAACTGCATTATGTAAAGTTAAACACTCACAGTAGACATTAATGTTATTCGGGCCACCGTATTGCGTTGCAGTCGAATCCACCACCGTCTGCGTTAAAATCAATTTTGTCAATTCTTTTTATAAATAAGAGGGTGCTAGATCGCTTCCTTGACACAATGACCTCATTCGAGAAATGTC